GACTCGGCACCGAGCTCATCCACGGCGTCATCCTCGTCCATGTCCTCGTCGTCGGTGTTGAGCTCGCTGTCTTGGTGGTTGGGCAGGACGGTGATCTTGCCGTTGATGAGCTCCACGCGGGCGTTCTCTCCATCGCGGACGTTGCCGCGGAGGATGAGAATGGCCAGCTTGTTGAGCACCTCCTTCTCGATGAGGCGAGACAGAGGACGGGCACCGTAGGCGGGTGAGTAGCCTGCGTTGCCGAGGTAGTCCTTGGCCTCTTCTGAAACGTCAATGTAGACCTTGCGGCCGTTGTTCTCCAGCCGCTTCTGGATCTCCATGAGCCGGATGTCGACAATCTTGCGGATCTCACGGCGCGTGAGACGGTTGAAGATGACCGTGGAATTGATGCGGTTGAGGAACTCGGGGAGGAACCAAGAGCGAAGGGCATTCATGACGAGCTCACGCGTAGTGGCGTCGACCCTGCCGTCGCGGTTGGTGGACTTGGTGAGGTACTCAGCACCCAGGTTGGAGGTCATGACGACGATACAGTTCTTGGCGTCGACGACTCTGCCCTGGCCGTCGGTGATGCGGCCGTCGTCCATGAGCTGCAGAAGGACGGTGAGAACCTCCTTGGCGGCCTTCTCAACCTCGTCAAAGAGGAGGATGGAGAAGGGCTTGCGGCGGAGGGCCTCCGTGAGCTGGCCACCGGCGTCATGTCCCACGTATCCGGGGGGAGCACCAATCATTCTGCTGAGGGCGTGACGCTCCTGGTACTCGGACATGTCGAAGCGAATCATGGCCTTGGAGTCGTCGAAGAGGAACTCGGCAAGAGCCTTGGTCAAGAGAGTCTTACCGGTACCCGAAGGACCGCAGAACAGGAAGCTGGGTGGTTGGTTGGGGTTGCTGAGACCAGATCGCTGCAGGCGAATGGCGTTGGAGACGGCCTGGACTGCTTCCTTCTGTCCAACAACGATCTTGCCGAGCTGCTTCTCCATGTGGATAAGCTTCTCCTTCTCGGTCGTCTTAAGGCGGGTGACGGGAATGCCAGTCCAGCGGGACACGATGTCGTTGATGTGGTCGGCCGTAACAACGTCAGTGACCATGGCACCGTGGTCCTGGCCAGAGGCGTTGAGAGCGGCATCGGCGGCAGCCTTCTTGGCCTCAAGCTCCTTGATCACAGCGCGCTGCTCAGGGATGGCGCCGTACTGGAGGTCGGCGGCCTTGGCGTGGTCACCGTCGTTGATGGCCTGCTCAAGGCGCTTCTCGAGGTCGTCGAGCTTGAGCTTGGCCAAGTGAATCTCCTCACCTCTCTTAATCTCGGAGAGGTACTTCTGGCGCAGGGGCTCAAGCTCCTCCTCAACGTTCTTGGCATCCTTTCTCGCCTGGACCAGGCGGGTCTGGGATGCCTCGTCCTTCTCCTTCTCCAAGGCCGCAATCTCGATCATGATCTGGCGCAGCTTGCGCTCGAGAGAGTCGATGATTTCGGGCTGCGACTCTCTTGCGACGCGCACCGCGGCGGCGGCCTCATCGACCAGGTCGATGGCGGAGTCGGGAAGTCTGCGGGAGGTGAGGTAGCGGCCGGCAAGGTTGCAGGCGGCCACCAGAGCGTTGTCGAGAATGGTGACGCGGTGGTGTCTGTCGTATCTCTCCTTGAGACCACGGAGGATGGAAATGGTCTCACCGATGGTGGGCTCCTTCACCAGCACCTGCTGGAAACGTCGCTCGAAGGCGGCGTCCTTCTCGACGTACTTGCGGTACTCGGCGAGAGTGGTCGCACCGATGCAGTGCAATTGACCACGGGCAAGCATGGGCTTGAGCAGGTTGGCGGCGTCCATGCCGCCCTCGCCGGAGGAGCCAGCACCCATGAGAAGGTGGATCTCGTCGACGAAGAGGACAATCATCTCCTTGGAGTCCTCAATCTCCTTCAGGACACCCTTCATCCTCTCCTCAAACTCTCCGCGGTACTTGCTTCCGGCCACCAAGGCGCCGACGTCGAGCGACAGCAGCTTGCAGGCCTTCAGGTTGTCGGGTACATCGCGGTTGACGATTCGCTGGGCCAGGCCCTCGACGACCGTGGTCTTGCCCACACCGGGTTCACCGATGAGGACGGGGTTGTTCTTTGTGCGGCGCGAGAGGATGCGCACGACTCTGCGGATCTCCTCCTCTCGGCCGATGACAGGGTCGATCTTCTTGTCGCGGGCCATGGCCGTCATGTCGATTGTGAACTTGGCCAGGTTCTCGTGCTCCTCCTCGGTATCGGCGTTCTTGCTGTCCACCCGCTTCGTGCCCCGGATCTGCGTGACGGCATCGTGCACCAGCTTCGGCTTGGGGATGTTGGCCTCCTTCAGGCATGTCTGGATTGTGTGGTCCTCGGCGAGGGCCTGGATGAGGTGGTCGACGGCGATGAAGGAGTCCTTTTGCGTCTTTTGGAGCTCCTGCGCCTTCCTCAAGACGGCGTGGAAGGTGGGTGCGACGGAGACCTGGTCCGGGGGCGGGTCTTGGCTCGGCAGGCGGACGAGGGTCTTCTTGAGGGCTCTGTCAAAGAGTTGCGGGTCGCCGTGGGCGCGCTCGACGACTTGTCTGAACATCGAAGACGTCGGCGGCGGCGCGTTCTGTTGGTCCTTTGACTGGTCTGCGGGAGGGTCGAGCAGCGAGACTGCCAAGTGGACGGGGAGCAGCTGCGAGTGCGCGTACTGCTCTGCGAGGGCCATCGCGTCCTGGACGGCCTTCTCGCCTCTGTCGGTGAATTCCATTCGTGAATTCATGATGGCGGTTGTAGTTGTGTGTAACGACGGTGTTGTGTTGTTGCGTTGTAATTAAAGCGTAGGGTAGAAAGGTAGGTAGGTAGGTTTGTTGTGTCGTTGCGAAGCTCAGATTTTGAGGCTTCAAGTTGAAGAGTCTATCATCAACTGGGGTATCTTTTTTCGTTTTGTTGAATTAAGCTTGGTGAAGAGTGAGAATAATCGTCGAAAGTCGGTTCGAGTCTCTGAATTTATGCCCAAAGACTGAAGCTTCTCGAGGCTGTAAACTGGAAAGAGTGGGCCGTCGAATGGACTGATCGAGCATCGTCTGGTAAGGCCGGGAGTTGTAGGGCAGCGACCAGAACCTGGTGGAAGTCCCGCGACGTCACTAGAATCAGTGCGCCACCAAGCCCAAATCGCGGGGTCGCATTGGGCGCGGGCCCGCTGGGGCCCACTCCGGATCTAATCGTCCTATCGATTGAGTGGTTATCTTATCTCTTATCGATAGGACAGTCCCCGCCGGGATCATGTGACCTTGGCAGGCAAGCCACAGATAGTACGTGTAGCGTGCGACAGCCACCAGCCACATCAGCCACAGCGGTCGCGCGACCCGATTGCAGAGCTTGGGGAAATTTTGCAAGGTCGAGCTACGTCGAAGTTCTGGGGCCGACGACGACGACGACGAACGACGGCGACGACGATCCACGACAAGCCCACCGCCGGTGCCCCGAAAGCGACGGCGCACGACGCAACAATGTTACCGGCCACGCTTTCCAACAGATTCTCACAGCTGTCCATCGGCGTTTCGAGGACAAGCGTTCGACATGGCCACTTCATGCCGAAGCGGCAGAGGCCACAATACAAGTTGGCCAAATTCCCAGAGGGCCACGGCGAGCAGATTTGGGTCTGGAGCCACCAGCTCACGAGACAGGTCGTCTACTCGCACTCGAAGACCATGGAGGTACGCTTTTCACTAGCTTGACAGAGGGGTTGTCAAGCAATGGCGGAGCAATGAGCGACTCGTTCGCAGAAGTGCTGCTGCTGCTGCTGCTGCGCCTCATTCCCAAATATCACGGCCAGCTCAAAATCCCACAATATGCTAATTCACGCCGTCTGCCAGTCCCACCGAGTGCTCCGCCAGCTCCCGTTCAACGGCAAGAAACTCCGACCTGCGGCGCTCCGCAAAGACTACTGGAAGCCCATGGCCATGATCCAGCTGCCCAAGGGCGCGGGCGCCGCGGGCCAGTCCGTCTTCCAGAAGCTGCGCGAGTTCCGCAAGATGCACGAGCTGTGCTGGGACGAGAGCCTCCGCTTCGATGTAGTAAAAACCGAAGCGCTCTCCTCCCCTGAAAAGGGCCCCCGCCCGGTCAAGGAGCGGCGCAGGGTCCTCAACAAATTCGAGCGCGGCCAGAGGCTCAACGACCAGTACGCCAACAGCATCGCCGACATGGCGGCCGTCCTCGCCGGCAAGGGCCGCGGCAACCGCCTGTTCGTGCGAAGAGGCGACAGGGTCAAAGGTAGATTGCAGGGCCGCAAATGGCTCGACTACCGCATGAAACTCGCAAATCAGCTCGAGGCGCTCAAGGAGCTCAACAGGGAGCAGAAACTCCTGCCGGTGACGGTGTCCTGGGCCGTCGACGCCGACCGCAACTACGCGAGCTCTTGGTCGGAGAACGTCAAGCACAAGCTCTTCGACGACGCCGTGCGCTTGCTTGAGGTGTATAAGCGGAAGGTCCCCAAGGCCAGCAAGAAGCCTAACGACAAGGAGCCTAAGGACAAGAAGCCCGACGACAAGAAGCCCACCGGCAAGGACAACATCAAGTATGTTTATCAGGAGGTGAAGGACGACATTCCCGCGGAGTTCAGCAAGAAGGGCAAGGCGAAGGCGGTTGGTGAGGACAGGACGATCCGGGATGAGTAGAAGAAGAACGAGACGGCCGAATCGAAGCCGTGAGGATGCGAATGGATAGACGTGTTAAAATCACGGATGAGTTTTCAAAAAAAAAACCCTGTACATTGAAGTAAAAGGACGTCCATGTTGTTTTTTTACTAGTTGCCATCCGCAGCCCGTTAGAGTGGCTAAGACGGCTCTCCATGTAGACTATTGTACCAATACGTATGGTTGCATGACCTATGATAAACCGAAACCCCTTGAGCGTATAAAACGCGTTTCCCTTTCAGAACCCATAGACCCCAGAAACCAAACAGTTCGTGATAATGCTCTTTGTCATCAACGTCGTTATAATGATTCACACACACACACACAAGCACACACAATTAGACCCGGATAGCAAACTTCTTGAGATACTCGTAATCCTTGACGTTGGCGTCGACGCACTCGCGGATCTCCTTGAGACCCTTGTCGCCGAACTTCTGCTTCCACTCGGCTTCTTCGGATTCACGGGTGATGACCTTTTTCTCGCGGGGAATTAGCATGCTGCGAAGTATACACAGACCGCCGTCCAGCGTGCCCCGGGCGGGCAAACCACAACGGCAGGGGATTTTCCATCCTTCCACGTCCAAGGGGATTTTCCTCCGGGGCAGGGGCTGAGAGAGCAACTGCGAGGGGGACACGGTGACTTACATGCGCCTTGTTGCGCGGCCTCAGCGAGGTGCTGCCGAGGGCGTCTTCGTGGAAACCGGTCCACTTGGCGAACTTCTCCTGGGCGATCTTGGTGTCCTCCTCGCCCCAGTTGAGCATGTTGTCAGTAAAGTCGAGGCCGACGTGCTGGCAGTAAGCACGGATGATGGCCTCGGGGTCGTCGAGCAGGTCGTCGGCGTCGACGACGAGCAGGCTGCTCTCGTCGACGATGCGCTCCTTGACGAGGAAGTCCAAGAGGGTGCGCAGCTCCGCGTAGCCGGCCTCGCTGGGCATGAAGTTGTAGAAGCCGGTCATCTTGTCCAGGGGCGGGACGGTGCAGCGGTAGTACGAGGGGATGGAGCGGCGCGGGTGCCGAATGAGGAACGTCCACTGGAACTTGCGGAGCGTCTCAATCGGCAGCACCGTCGGGTTGCCGGCCTCGGGGGCGTTACCGGCCGAGGGCACAATGGCGGCCTTTCCTCCGTTGGGAGGAATCAGGTACTGCGCCATATCCTTGACGAAGATGCGCTTGCCGCCCTGTCTTTAAGTCAGCGATATTGGTCTCAACCATCGATGGCATGCATTATTGCGGCAGCATCTGGTTGGTCGGCGGCGGTTCTGCCGGGAGGCCACTGGAAGCTCCCCGGGGGCCGTCAGGTCGTCCAGTGTGGGGGGGGGGGGGGGGGGACACCTTCAGCCCAGTGGATGAGGTACCCCCGGTACAGTTGGTGGCTGCACCGCAAAGCTTCCCTGGGCGGTCGGCAGACCCGCCCCAGCCGACCGAGCTTCAGCTTAAATCAATTGGGAATTTCGAGAAGCTCTGTTGCGAGGTGCAAAGAGCCTCTGCGACCGAAAATTGGATCGATTTCCGATGGGGGATGACAAGTAACGAATTGATGGGGTGAACTGCGGGTTTGCGGGTTGCAGAAGCTCTGCAACCCCCAAGGAAACAGAGTGCAGGGGTGGAGGGATACTAGGGATTGCTGACGCCCCGCGAGCGATCGATCGAGCAGAAGGAATGAAACGATGGGAGAGAAGGAAAAAAAGGGCACAAACCTCTTTGCCGGCCTCCTCAATCTGGCTCAGCACGTCGGCATACGTCGTCTCGGCGAAGCCAGACTTTTCCCTGCCGTCGGCGTCGTTCTCAAAACGCTCACCGATGCGCTCGGGACCGTAGTAGAACGCATCGCCAAAAGGCTCATGGACACACGCCAGCTTGTCCCGGCGGGCCATGAACACCTGTGATGTCAAAAAGCCATGGTCAGCCAAGTTTGGAAGATGAGGGGATGGGGGGGGAGCGGGAGATCGAGATTTTGGGACGAGAGACGACTGATTGTCAACACCATTCGCCCGGCTGCTCCCACGATCCAGGACCCTGAACCTTGTTTCTGTTTTTGCTGGGCCGCCGCCGGACGATTGCGTGCTCGCCATCCTGTCTCGGAATGCAGAATCCGGGCAGCGTAAGCAGCACCGGTCCCTCGTTCAGTGGTTTCTTGGGGGGATGATTTACCCTCTCAAAGGCGGTAGAGCAGGCCCGGGGGTGGGTCGCACAGAAGATTGGCTTCGAAGGCGTGATGGCCATGATGAAGCACCTCACCGCGAAGATGGGGAATTTGGTATGGGAAAGATCAAATTGCCGCACAGAGCTGGGCTGGCGCGGGCGGGCGGAACAGGGGATCCGCGAGTTTGTTGCAGAGGCTGAATTGGAACTTGCAGGCAGGGCAGCAATCAATCAATTACGCAGACAGCTGTCAGCCGTTGTGAGAAGCTCTTGTTGCTGGGGCTAAGCAACAAATGGAGATGATGGGAGAGATCGTGATATGTCGACAGAACAGGTATCGATGGCGAAATCGAGAGAGACAGGAAGGTCAAGGGAGGGAAGAGAGTGCGGGCTTGGGCTATAAATTGTCCAAGAGCTCCTCCACGGTCCAGTCCAGCTCGCCTCTCACATTGCCTTCTGGGTTGCCCGAAGCTCTGCAACTCCCACTCCCACTGCCGCCGACGGGCAGTCACTTGTCGCCTTTCACGCACACGTCGCCCACGCTTTCCCATGGAACGACCGCCCAGTGTCAGTAACTTCTTCCCTGGGTTCCTGCCTTTGCCGACTGCCTTGGCCGACAGCCGTCCGTCGCGCCAAATGTAGCTACGTATCCTCGTAGTCTGGGCTCGCTACTGCTGGTACTGGCGTCGTTGTTGCGTCTGGCCACGGATCATGGAACGCGCCCGCCCCTCTTTCAGACCGAAGATTCCCACTCAACCCACCCGGCTGCAAGTCACTCGAGAGGCAGCTCAGAGGTAGAGGCAGAGGTAGAGTCGAGGTGAGATGAAAGTACCGCGTCCAGCGCGGGCAGCAGCTCGACGCGGGCAAAAGCACGGGCTGAGGCGGCGAAAACGCCGTCGACAGTGGCCGGCGAGGTACCTGATCCGGAGACCAGACGATTCTCGTTCGGTACGGACCAGTACTCCTGCTCTGTACCTGGGAGGCGTCTCGTTGCAAAACCTTGTGCTATGACGTGTAGTGCGTGTAGTAAGACAAGGACCCGAAGCCGGCTCTCCAATTGCAGCTCTCCGAATCCACGCCCAGCAGCACACTAGGGTCGGAGCCCGCTTTTGTCGGCTGGGAAAAACACTGAACGAGCAGGTACCTCTCGAGAGTTGTATGGAAAACTCTGTAACTCGAAGCACTCCTCATTCTCCATTTACCCAGTAAGGCCAAGTGCCTGGTCCTTCCTGCCTGGCCTGTACTACTGTATGGCTACATACGTGTAGTACGCAGTGCAGTAGGGTAAATGCGGGAAATGCGTGGGTACGCCCGCTGGGGATTGACCGGGAATCTGATGAAATCTCATGGTTTTCTGGCTGGGCAATCAAGCAATGGAGAGGTTCCGCGGCGGAACGTGTGTCGGCCGGTGGAGACCGGCTCCAGCTTGCTCCAGCTTATTACTTCAGAGCACTCCAACAAACTCCATCAAGCAGCATTCTTCCCGGCTTGCACCGCGCCGCGTTCCCTGCATCCTTCGACCCTTTTGACGAGCAACGGCACATACTCGGCATCTGCGCCCTCAGAAGCCAGAACTCTGGTCTGCCTGCCAGTCTGGTCTGTCTTTTGTTTTTCTGGGGCCAACTCGGCCATGTTGACGCGGGATGCAGCTCGCAGGATGCGCGGGCTCCGCAAGGGTCTTTTTCCTGCCCTTCTCGTCCGTGTAATATGGACGTAATGGGCGTGGAGTTGTCGATCCACCATGAAGAGATGGCGCCCCCAATTTCCAACGGAGCAACCCATCCATTTTGAACGAGGATGAGGCCGACAACACTAGTTGAGAGAAAGAGGGGGTGGCCGACCGGGGGAAAAAAAAGACACACACAAAAAAAAGGATGGGAGGGGTTGGGGGTGGGTGATGGATGGTTGAGAATGATGATTACGGTAGGCGCCAGACAACACTTGCAGAGCTTCTGCAGAGCTTCCAGCAACCCCCTCAACCCGCCACGCTAATGGTTGCAGAGCTTCTGCAGAGGTTGCAGAGCTTCATCGCCCGCCCTTCTCACTTCCCTGCTCACTCACACTTACCGTACAAAGCTTTGAAAGGAAACTTTAGCTCTGCTTACTCGGGGGGCGTGCTACTGAGCCGAGGCCCTCACACCGTTCACAGAGTAGTACCTTAGTCCCTGTAGGCATAACAGTTGCATACAGGTTTTTGAGCGTTGTTGGGACGGCCCTTATTCGTCCAGCTCGCGTGGGATTGGGCGTTGTGAGACACATAGGCACGCGACCGGCGTTCGTTCATCTCGCGATACCATCACATGTGGCCGTAGCCGTAGCTCCCTGATCCGTCGCTTCCTCCTCCTTGTTTCCATCGCATCTTCCCTTCGCTGTGTCCGTAAATCTCTGCCCAGTGTGTATGCGTGCTGCTGCAGATGACAGCCCTCAATCGGCCGTCGCTCTCCAAACCACCCCGAGTCAAAAGGGCCAGCCCCCTTTTCTGCCAATGCCCATGCCCGCAGTACCGTGGCCATGCTTCACGACGCCACCACTCGGCGCAGACGAAGGAGAAAACTCTTCAAAGGGCATCCATCACGAACCAGGGGGGCAGCGGAGGCAACAAGAAAAAAGACCTGCGGAACAAGAGTCCAGAGTCCAGAACCACGAGAGAGAAACTTCCACGGCGGGCACTCGCTGTTTCCATTACACAATGGCTAAGGGGGGGAATCCCACGCTCCTGAGTCTCTGCCCAGCCCACGACGCACCTCTTATCTCGAATCGACATAGCTGCGATGTCGTCAGCCAGTCCAGGCCTGTTCCGTCCAATCGATCCCCTTGTGTGCCACCGACAGCGGCGCCCACCACCCCCTTCGTGGCCGCATATTCACACAAGTAGCCCCGAAGCATGTTCCTTCAGGGGGTGCGGCATCACCAGACGGCAACGACGGTCTGGCCGCCAGCATCCCGACATCCGTCAAAGTCCCGGTGCTGCTGGGTCTTGCCGTGGGGGTGCTGTCGCGTGAGAGAGAGAGAGGAAAAAGAGACGCCAGGGAGGCAACAGCGCGAGACATCGCGAACGGGGTTCGCCGAAGGCTGCCCTGCTCTGCCCTGCCTCATGACCGCTGGTCCTCCCAGCTCCCTAGCCACCTCAGCTTCTCCGCCACCTGGGCGACCCCCTCGAGCGCCCCCTTGACCCTGCCGTCAGGGTCCTGGAACCTGTGGCCCTCAAACTCGACGAAGAAGACATACTCAAAGGGCCCCGTGAGGCTCGGCCTGCTGTTGATGCTCGTGAGGTTGAGCCTGAACTTGCGGAAGCACTCGAGCACGTCAGCCAGCGCGCCGGGGGCCTCGTGCGGGACCGTGAATGACACCATCGACTTGGTCCTGCCCCTCTTGCGCTCGCAGTGGCCCGGCATCTTGCCGTCCAGGCCCTTGCGGATGATGAAGAAGCGCGTCGTGTTGTCCTCGCGGTCCTCGATGGTGCGCGCCAGCACGTCGATGCCGTGCATGCGGGCGGCGATCTCACTCGAGATGGCGGCGCTGGTGCCCGTCTCGTCCATGGAGACGAGCTCGGCGGCGCGGCTGGTCGAGCTCACGTCGATGGCCTCGATGCCCTTGAGATACGTCTGCAGAAAGGCGACGCACTGGCCCCAGGCCTGCGGGTGCGAGTACAGCCGCTGGATGTGCTTGAGGCTGCACAGCGGCTTGGTCCGCGGCTTCAGGGGGTTGGGGTCCGAGGCCGTCGGGGTGCAGGCGCCGGAGCCGTCGCCACCGGAGCCGCTGCCGGCGCCGGCGGCGTCGTCGTTGAGGACGCGGGGCGGCCGGCGGCCGACGAGGAAGTGGTGCACGTCCAGATAGATCTCGCCGCACACAGAGATGTCCGGGAACAAGGCGTTGCGGTCGGCGAAGTTGTCGAGCGTGAACAGCACGGACCCGTTGGTTGAGTTCTCGACTGGGACGACGCCGAAGGCGACCTCCCCGGCTTGCACGACCTCGAAAATGTCTACGGCCCGGTCAGGAAACCCGGAACAGGAGAGCCAAGACAGAACGCGGGGCAGGAATCAAGACATGGAGAGACACTGACCCGTGATGGTGACAACCGGCCGCAGATCCCACTCGTCGTCCGGGAAAGCTTGCACTGAAGCCTGCACGAATGAAGATGTTAGATATGACAACTGCTCGGCATGCCGTGCGATGTGTGATTTCAGGTTCGTAATACCTGGTTGGTGTACGAGGCCTGGGGACCCAGGAAGGCCACCAGCGGCTTGACGCCGCCGCCAGCTGCTGCAGCCTCTGCCGGAACCTGAGACTTGTCACTCATGGCTCGTTGATGATCCTCTTCAAAGAGAGGAGGAGCTGTAGCTTGGGTTTTTCTGTTGTTGCTGCTCCAAGGCGAGTGTGAGAGGGGGCGGTGAGTTGCGGATGAGATCAGTTGCTCGAGGGCTCTCTCATCACACGCAAAGTCGTGGAACTCGATTGCCTTTATTCCCGTTCCGGGTGGCCGCGTCGGGGTAGCACCACCTGCGGGCGATCGACTGTACACACGTTCCTCGTGATATCGTGAATACGAAGCAGCTTCATTTAATGAGCCGTACTGTCCCACTGGCGAGCATTGGCGGCCGGAGCGGTGTTGCGGGTGCGGGTTTGATGGGAAAAGACGTTGGAGGAGGTTCCCCTACATCGGAGAGGGTCAAGCGATTGACTGACTGGGCGCGCCTTTTTGGAGGGGTTTTGTGTTTTTTTTCGCGGGGCACGGGGGAAAAAGAGCTCCACTTCTCGGTACTGCACCCGCACCCGCAGTGACCCAGACCGTTGGGCATGGCATGGCGCACCCAAGAGCCCGCACCACCACGCAGAACACCTTCAGTCATAGTTGACCTGCGCGAGTAAGACGGTGACAGTTCCCCAGTGCTTCACAATGAGTCGTGTCCTCCGTGAACACGGTGAAGCTCAATTGTTTGAATGCGGTTGTGCAAGGCACAGCGCGAGGGGATGCCGTACAACAGCTGTCGACGACAACACCCCGCGGAACGATTGACAAGCTTTAGTCTGAGACATTCCAACGCTGTACACACATGGGACTCTAAGGAGAACAACGACAG